GTTTTTTTTTTTTTTTTTTTGTATTTTTATTGTTAACGAGGGTAATGTTCACTTCATTGTGAGAGAGGTGTAGTGAGAGAAAGTGAAGAAAAAATAGAACAAGAGCATATGTGGGTTTTTGTTCATTTACCTTCTTTGTTTTCCTGGTGGTTTGTGAAGACGATTGTGTTTTAGTTTTTTTTTTTTTTTTTTTGGGGGAGGGGGGGGGGGGGGGGGAGCTCTAGCTCTGACCTAAGCTCTGCGTGTCTTTCCTGACTTTTTATCCAGACCTGCTTATCTGATCTCTTGGTCTGACTTCCTAGTCCGACTTTATGCTTGGAAATTATTCTGAATACCATCACTAATGATGATATCAAAAATTAGTTAAGGTTAAAATCGAACCATCCAACTAAATTTGGACGTCCCAGCTCATGATCACTAGTTTGAGATGCACAGGTCAAGAATTTTCAACAATAAAATCCTTTTGTACGCCATAATTGCAACAGCTAACACCCTCCAGAAGGTTACGTCACGCCTAAAAAATGTAACCCATAACAGCCAAATATTATGGCACAAGAATCGCAACTGCCTCAAGAGAAATCGTGTTGATTACGCTATAATGACATTGGTTGCAGAAGAATCGTAAAGATCATGCAAAGAAATCACTATCAGCAATTATACACCATAAATAGGGATCAAATCTTCCGCACCTAAGAATTAAACAATCATCGGTGTACCCGTGTGTAATCTCTTTCTCCCAGTTAACAAACTCCATTATAGTAAACTAACCAAGCTTCTGAACTGATGAACTACTACTATACACCCTCTGTTCAGTCATTTTTCTGTCTGATTGAATCAATAACTAATCCCCAAGAGCGTAGAATTTCTGACTGGACACTACAATGATCCCCAAACAACTTTCTTGTTCTTAGCAGTGCTGAACACACCATCAACTTACATGACATGTAAGAGAGAAAAAAGAAATCTAGAATTAGATTGTTAGTAATGGTTAATTGATGAACAATGTAGAATGGAGAACACTCAGAGTCACCAAGGGTCACAAACTAGGTCATAGATGTTCCTTTACTTGCATATTTACAAAATCAAATAGACTCTGCTTCACCCCCTCGTCATATTGAACTCATGCTGCATATACGAAGTGTAGAACAAACTATTCTTTTGTCATCTGCCGTGGCATTAGTCGCCAGACAACATAAGGAAACGAAATCTTACTCGGTACACTTGAAAATGGGCAAGATTATGCATCGTAGATATATGTAAACTAAAACTGAGGTAAAACAAAGTATGTGCTGATATACGTGGGTGCCCCGCGCGCGCGCATACACACATACGAGAGAGAGAGACTCGGCTCCACTGAATGAAACTAGGACAAGGACACCGTTTAATGAAGGAAAAACTGGTCACATCACTACACACATTCACATATATTTTCTTATCACCTATAAAGGAAATAACTATATACAATATAAAAAACTATGCATATGCAGGACATCACAGGGCAGCTTTCCACGGATCCTGAAGGCGGCAAAATGAGCGCACCCTTCAGCAATTACGCAGCCACAAAGAAAACAAAGCTTTTTAATACTTTCTTGCCACAATTGCCTCAATCGAGCTCAGCAAAAAAAGGAAATGGACAGGAAGTTAGCATTTGAAGTAACCAGTCAAATATCATCGGCTTCACAATTCTGTTGTCAAGCTTGACGGCAGACGAGGTAATTGTAACAGATGTGTTCTGAGGCTACAATCCTGGACCTGGTTTCATAACTTCTGTTAGTTCTTGACAAGGAAAGCTTCCAATAGAAAACAAGTAGAAATCACCATCATATAACTTTTACGGGTCCAATATACTCAAGATGAACATAATCACACAAGAAAACAAAATTTGGCAACCGGTATTTGCTTCCGGTAAAATCCGAAAAACTTTTGAACTTTGTGCTGGCAAAGAAAGAAAACTTTCAAGGAAAACTGAATTTGGCACTTACCTGCATTGCTGTTAAAGTTGACAAAAGGTCCTTGCCTTGATCAAGCAAAGCACGCTCATTTGCGTTAATGTTAGCAAGTTCTGACACCACCGAGTTAACTTGCTCAACCTGTTGATGCCAAAATTGGTCAAGATGCATTTAACGCATAATCCAACACAAGGACAAGAGGGAAATCAAATGCTGTCAAACATGACTACATAACTAAGAATTGAAGCAATCTTGGCTTGGAAATCTGATGATCATTTGCTTTCAAGTGGCCACAACTACGGAAGATAATGTCGCTAAAACTAAAAAACAAATTCCAATGTGCAGCTCCCCGCCCCCCCCAAAAAAAGAAAAAGAAAAAAAGAACACATGAATTTATGGGACCAATGCTAATTTATGAGTGACTAATATACCAGCTTACACTTTAAGAAATTTTTTTTTAGTCTACTCACACACTTTGTCGAACAACCTTAATGCTTTGGAATTTGCAGCACCGTATAAGCAATCAGCCTTTTGTGAGATAAATCAAAGTTTAGCAGGACAATAGCAATAAGTAGAAGAATCCAAAACAATAAAAAATATAACCTTTGTGACCAAGGAGCTCATGGAAGATGTCACTGCCTGCATCACATCAACTGCTGAACCAATAGCACTTTTTACATTTTGCACATTTGCCTGCAAAAATAACCCAAGAAAACAATATCATACCCCATACATGCCCGATAACCAATGTGATGAGCAATTAAGATGTCAATTCTCATGCAGGCAATTAAATCAAAAGCATACCCTTGCCCCACCAACAACTGGGAGACGGAGAGTGCTGGCCTCCAAAGCTTCTATGGCCCCTGATAAGGAACTTGAATGATCGTTGTCAATCAGATCCCAATTGTCCAAACATAGCATCTGCATTCCATCAAACACATCAGGTCCAAAGCAATTTGTCCGGAATACAGAATTACAATCAAAACATTTGTATAATACATACATAACCAATATATCATTAAGAATGAAAGAATGCAAGACCAAATGTCCTAAATGAGGAAATCTTTATCAAACACTCGGGACTGTGGAACAGCATTCAAGCCGTAATCTCAACACATAAGATGTATAAGTGAAAGTGATGACTGAACTCTTTCCCTCAGATAATCTTGCAGTTCCTTGATGAAGAAACATAGATGGGTGAACCTGTCCAGGACTTATGCTCATGGGTAAAGGGTCGACTTTTTAAAAAGATCGTGAAAGTGCTAATGCCATTCATGTGTATGAGCAAGCACACATTATGCATTGGTGTGCAAATATCTACATATATATATATAAAGAGAGAGAGAGAGGGGGGGGGGGG